TTTGATAAATCTTTCTGAAGTTTGTTAAGGGAAGTTATGAAAGGAAAAATGAAATGTCTGCATTATTATTGCCAAAAGCAGCTGAGATGGCAGGAAATTAAAATCAATATAAGATACAGTTGGAATAGCGTTGATTACTTTTGGTAAAGATCGGCCTAGCCGTTTCTTCGTAATTAAATTTTGAAATTAATTTTTTTGAAGATTTTGATGAAACTTTGTGTAACGATAGATTTCGTAGTCTGAAATAATATACTAAAATATTGTAGTGAATAGTATAGTATAAGATATTTAAATGTATCTAATACGTATCTAATGAAATTTTAGTTTATATTTTAAACGAAAAACTGATTGTTAGCAATGACGTTAAATTTGATTCTTCTAATAAATATTAAAAATAATAATTCTAATAATAATAATAATAGTAATAGTAATTCTAAGTAATTTAATTCTTAATAATTAATAAATAGAGTAAGAAAGAATCTTAATGGAGTCTTATAGGATTTTTATTGGATTATCAAAAGGAAGTAAAATATATGCAATTGCTTTGATTCACAATGTAACTAATATTTTCTGCATGTATAGTAAAGTGCATATATAATGTTAAGCAAAAATTTGAATAATTTAAATAATATACAAATGACAATCAAAATGCACATATAATTAAGCTGAAATAATGATAAATTCAACAATATTTCAAGTTTGACATTGATTTGCATAGCTTGTAATCAAAGTATTTGAGTGCAAGAAATAAAACGCTCATAAGATTAAGAATAATTTACACTAGATTGCATGCATGTAAATAACAACAAATACGTAATTGTATTTTTATTTATTTGTCAAGGGCATCGCGCAGGAAAATATAGAAACACATAAAAATCCCATATCGACTCATGGAAAAAAATATGAAGATTTTTTACATCAGTTAAACTTTGCACTCTAAAAAAGGCACATAAAATAAAATTAAAGCAAAACACTTGCGCTCTATTTATGAATACGAATATAACGCAATAAAATACACAGTTCCGTACGTTTTCGTATTTATTTTAGTCTTCAAACCAAAATAGATATGTCAGACCGTAAAATTAAATCCACGAGAGAAAAAAATAAGCGCGCGCGTGTTGGGAAATAGGAGCCCTGTCAAATGAGAAATGTCTATTTCGTGAAATATCTAAATCACCTTGTGCGTTTATATCCCGTTTTAGGACTTGGCCATCGTCAGTTAATTTGATTTATTTCTCCAAACGGAACTGTTTGTTCTTGTGAGGTTTTTATTGCACAAAACTATTTTTTATTCGTGTCAAACACAGCACATCACATAATCGTCAAAACACAAAACAAACTACTGGGCGAACACTGACATTAGCACACAAGAACTGCCAACATTCGGGGGCGCTCGATCAAACTGTTGCATGTGGTAAAAAATCAATCTCGAAAGTAATTAGATTCATATAAATCATCAATTTTCATAATTCTAGACGTATTTTGTAACATATTTGATATTTAAACACCCTTACGCTCCTAAAATAAAATCACATTAAGGTATGTAGGAGCATGGCTACCAACGTGTACCAAACATGGCAGCTGTCAAAATTTGAAACTGTCAAAGCCACAAAATTTAAATGTTGATTTCCCTATTTAAGCTGTCGAAATTTGGTAATATATAAAATTATGCAACAACAACTTTATTGTTCAATATAGTTAATAATAACTGTTTGCACAATTGCTTTTCCAATTAACATTTACTTGTAAGTTTTTAAATATCAACTGATACTGTTGTGTGTTTCAAGAACATATCTTAAAATTAAGTACTCAGTTAAATTAGTTCAATTATGCTCTTAAATTTAAATCCAGTTTAATTAGCGTTTTTTATATTATCAAAATAAATGTAAAAATATTACTAACTGTCAAACTATTTGTTTCTCGCCAACTTCATACTAAACTTGCCAGATGTCAAATCTGTCAAAAAATATGACGAATATATTACAATCTATAATTAACTCGTATTGATTTAAAACTGTACATGTAAAACTTTAATTATTAAACAGACTATTACAAGTTAACTTATTACAAGTTATTTGAAAACTACGAGCCATTGCATTGGATACCTGAGTCAATTATACTCTTTATATTACCCCTTTCACAATGTTTTCATTTTTTCGATCAAAGAAACATTCTCCAGACAGTGATAACTCCCCAAGTGACTCAGCACCCCCAATACCACAAGCAGATGATGAATATATAATGATAGAAAAGAAAGATGATGATCCCGAGCCGAACAATCTATACCCAAACATCGATAACGAAACTGCTTACACAGTTCCCAAACAACAAACGATACACAACATGCAAGGAGTGCCATTTGTAATATCTAAAGAGTTAATTCTATTCGAGACAATGGAGTCATACATTGCACAAATGACAGAAGCTGTGGATTACCTTACATCGAAGTTAACGTTGGATGATATGGATTATAATTTTAATTTGGAGAACAGTATATTGCAAGTCGATTAAACTGCTGTATGTATTTCCCTAATGCTTTAATGTTTGTTATTACAATCAAATTAATTCTTCTCACCTGCCATGTTGTGATACTATTATTTTTATATTTAAAGTAATGCATATACTCATGATGTAAATTCGATATATGTTTTAAAATATGTGAAAATATGATTTAAAAATTAAGTTTTAATAATAAAATATGTTTTGCATATTTTGTATTTTTAATTTTATCTTACAACAACAAGCTTACAGTTACAAACACAGATACGATAAATAAAAATGGGATCCATGTTTTTAAGACACCGCCAAAACTGCAACAATAATAATAATATAGTAAGTGCTAACTTTATCATTTCTAGTTTACTATAATATGTTACCTAACATATTTTCCGTATAATAGAATCAGAAATGCTAGTTTAACCATATTCCAACTTGAATTATCGTAGTTCATTATGTTTAAGCATCTTGCAACATGAGAGTGGCAATTATCACACAATAGATTATGCTAAAACAAAGAATAATTGAATATATTAATTAGAATATAATCCCAAATTGTCCGGAGTAGTTCTAGAAGTAATATTTGTCCTAAATTCGTACTGGAATGCCCATTTCAATATTTGTTTTCAAATATAATTATTTTTACAAAATTTAAACTAAAAAAAATTGTAATTTATAATCCTAAATTCTCCAGGACTGTTCTAGAAGCAATATTTGTCCCAAATTTGTGCTGAAATGCCTTTTGCAATATCTGTTTTCAAATAGAACTAGTTTTACAAGATTTGAACTAAAAAATTGTATTATCAGAATTCTTTTTGAAATAGACATTGATAAAACAAACATTTCTTACTTAAATTAATTAAGAAGAAAACTTTACAGAGTTTTATAAGTTAAGACCAAAAAAGAAATGAATCTACTGAAAAGGATCCATAATTCAAAAAAATATTAGCAGCTATGTATTCAGAAATCCCAATTAAAATAATTTCTGGAAAAAACACAACTGATTTTTATTAAAGTATGCTCAAAAACTTAATATGAAAAAATAGGACTATCTTAATATAAAAGAGTCCAAACAAATCCTCTGGCTTTTAGATTCTGTAAATATTATTTACAATTATGATCTTTATCATTTACCATTCGAGTCCTATAAATATTGCAGCCCTCCTCCACACCTTTATCAAAACCGTCTTTGCCATTATTGGCTAAATTAGGATTCAGCTGCCAATATTTTGTAGGATCCCCGAATGCCAGTTTTCTTTCACCAATAGTATAAGGCCCGGCAAAATCATATATGATTCCATCACTATTCGCAATGCCCATGTGCCCAATAAATGGAAGAAGCCATCTAAAAGGTAAACAATGGAAAGCCCTTTGATACATTACTACCACAAAATTTGATGTGATATTCATACACATTATAAAATTTTAAAGTAGAAATTATAAATGAATACAAACGTTAGAAGGGGTATCGGGGTCCAAACAATGCAATAAGGGAATAGTTGCTTTTCTATATCAATTGTGTTGGAACTTAGAGTAGATCCATCTAACGAATTATGAGAGGATTTTGCTGAATAAGCCATCACTAGTAAATATATAAAATGTAATATAATTTGTTAAAAAATGCAATATAATGCGATCAGTTAAAAGTTAATAAATTTTAATATCATGGTTTTGGCTATAATTTGCGTATGTTTTGTTAGTTTTAAATTATATTAATTGTGTATTTAAATTTATTAAAGTGACAAATTAGAAACTGTCAAAGAGCTGTCAAAATTGACAGCTACCAAACATGTAATTGGATTCCATGTTTTTTTTTTATTAAAACAAATCTAATAAAGCATGTCTTATTCAAATAAGCAGACTTTTATTAATTATTAATTATTAATTAATTATTTTCTGTTATTATTAAATATATTGTAATAAATTTTATTTAAAGTTTGTTTTTTTTTATAAAAATTAATTATTTTATCGTTGGTAGCACGTAGTAACAAATGACAAATGAATGGCTAACTTCACAAAGTTTTCATTCTTGCAATTAAATTGTAGAAAGCCGAAATATTTTACATTATATTAAAAATATTGTATATTTAAAACAAATGTTGAATAAAAATTAAAACTATTTATGGCCATGGCTTATTCAACATCATATCAAGAAGATTTTGATATGAAAGAAGAGCCGTTTTACGACGAACAAGAGATTGATGAGAATGATTATGGTTCACGAAATCAAATTGACGGCAGCGATGAAGGTAAATAAATAAATTTTGTATACAATATGTATTAACTATTTATTACAAAATTGTTTAATTTCTTTCCTAAAGACACTGAAGAGGCTAGTGAGACCGATATGGGTAGAAACGACGAACCGATGGAAATTAAAGAACAGTAAGTATCTGGATTCCAAAGAACCCCTATTTTCAAACAAAATCTAAACCAAACTTTATATTTAGAATGTACCAGGATAAACTAGCAAGTTTGAAGAAACAGTTGGCTCAATTAAAAGACGGATCTCATCCAGAACTTAATAGACGATTTAGAAGACTGGAGCACCAATATAAAGAACGATTAAGACTGAATGATGTCCATAGGTGAGAAGATTTACACCAATTTATACTTTTATTTAAGTACAAATTTCAATGTATTTTTTTTAGGGACTATATGGTTGAATGCGTTGAGCGTGATTACTTATTGGAGCGTGATGCTGCTACCAAAGAATTCAAGGAGAAGAAGGAAGACTTAAAAGAAACCTTAATAAATGATTTTGAAGAAAAACGTAGACAAATAGAACAAGATAGACATTCCATGGAGTTAACTGGAGATTCCACTGAAGTAATTTTTACTATTAAATTAATTTTCAACCACAAATTGCTCTATTATAACTTTGTTTTTTATCAGGTTAAACCTGTAATGACACGTAAGCTACGCCGCAGGCCAAATGACCCCACCCCAGTGCTATTGGAGAAGAGACGGAAGCCTCCAACAGCCCAATTAGTGTTGTTATTAGACGACAAAGAGATTGAGATGGACCTCAAACTCATAGCCAGAGGAAAACCATTGCAGAATTTGAGTAATGGGAATAATAACAACAACAGCAGAGATAGAGATCGGGAGAGTTCTCAAAGAAGGACACAATCAGGTATGGACAATTACATAATTTTATTCACAATTTGTTGCTTGATAATTAATTTACCATCACTTATGTGTTTTACAACATAAAACCTGATTTTTGAGCAATAATCGAGGTAAAATTCACAACACTGCTCTTTTTTGTACCACAAATTGAAATCCAGCTTTGTCCAAATGTTTTCAGCAATCATTTTACTTTGTACATACATCAATTACTCTGTATGTACTCTTTCAGTTTCTAATATATATCGCAGAAGACTGCGCAGCTCATTCTGGAGATGCTTACGGAGAAGGGGCCCAAAGTATCTTTACTATTAGAAATATACATTTATCTTTCATCACTAACAGCCTTATATGTTTAAAGTAGTATCTAATACTTATGTATATGATACCATCATAAGTTTCTGTATTGTGACTATTTTTTTTTTATTTAAAAGTATATATTTAACATGCATAGCATGCTTATGCAGTATTTATTATAATTTTGTATGGCCCAAAATAGATATGCTGATGAAATCGCTTTTATGGCACCAGTTAATATGCATGTTTGTTTGTTTTGCTAGAGGCATAAATATTTTGGGCCAAAGACTAGTATTTTTTTATTATTTAAACCAGAACTTTGATATTAATAATTCTTAGATTATGTTATACATTTGAGAGATTATTTATTTTTTCCCTATGAATTGAGTTTTCATCTTGAAGAGTATAAAGAGTATATATCTTAAAGAGTATTTAATATTTATGGTTATTGTTAATTAACAATTATTTCTTTGCTTAAGTTTTGTATGGATTTTTTTATGTTCTGTGATTTTGGTTTGTGTAAAGAATATATTATTCATAAAACAAATCTTTATTTGATGTGTTGTGTTGATGTGGTGTTTCAGGTGTTATTAGCAAACACAAACTAAGTTGCCGCAATATCGGAATAGGTGTTGAATATATCACATTGTTTCATAATTTAAATATTTATATATTGAACGGAACTTTCCTGTCTTTTTTTTTATTATTCCCCACGTAAACCAAACTAAATCTAGATTTATGTTGCATTAACTGTTTTGCTACGAGGGTCGTCTATGGACTCTTTGTGTACGAATGACGCCTATATCCAGCCTGAAGAAGTTTGTTTCGAAATATTTATATATCGTCATATTTATATTTGTTCTTTATAGTTATATTTAGTTCTTTAGAATCGTAATTTTTATTTTTTTAATACTTTTATTGATAATGATTTGAAAATTTTAATCGTATAGGCTTGCTGTCTTAGCAGTGTCATTTATGCAGAAAACACTCTCATAACGAAGAGGTTACATGATATTCTAATGAAGCAATAAATTTTTACCATGCTCTCAAACTATTTTCATATAAAATCACATTTAAAATAAATCAGTTTGAATTTCGATTTTTGTGGGTCAAAGAAGACGCACAGACACATATGATTTTTGACTACTAGGGATCAAAATAAGATACTTTGCTGAAGAAACTATACTTCTAAAATTACGAGGGGTATAGTAAGATATCACATGTATTTATTTTTTACCTGATTTTTTTATAATTCAAATATTTAAAATATATATATATATATATATATATATATATATATATATATATATAATTTTTTATCGTAACTAAAAGTACACGTTGGGGAAAGGGTAATTTTGGATATAACCAAGGGGAGAGGGAGGTCCAAAAATCCTTAAAAAAACGATCACGTGATTAATGGACGCCCCGTGGGGGAGGGAGGGGTATGGTAATATATTACGTATATTTATTTTTTACCAGATTTTTTTTAATCCAAACATATTCAAAATAAAATCCAAAATTTTATAAATTTTTCTCGTAATAAAAATACACGTGATGTTTCGTGGGGGACGGAGGGAAAATTTGGATTTTACCACATATTACCGAGAGAGAGAGGGGGGGGTCCGAAAATTCTTAAAAAAAATCAATCTAAACTTGAATTCTATTACAAAATTTAATTTGACTGGCACTATTGATAATTTCTGAGACTTCAAAAACAATTTTTTTTAGATAAACAGCTTTTTAAAAAATAAACTATGATAAATCAAAATTAAAACTATGATAGAAAAAAAATATGAAAAAATAAGCATGATTGCCTTGGATGAAGAACAGTATAAATAAAAAAAGACTTTGAAGTAAAATAAAATTTTGATGGTCAACCTTGTTTTTATATAACTAGTTTATAAATTTTTATCTTCAATTCATGGAGTAATTTATGATGCACACAAATAGCAACTTGTTAACCATTTCGATAGACGCCCTGTGTGTACGAGTGTAGCCTTAAGATGACATTCAGTGTGTCGACTTTTGCTTCAAGATTTATTACTCTGGATTAAATTATTGAGAATTTTAACTTGTTATTGCAGTTTTAGGTTTTTCGAAGTGTAATTTTTATTTTTTAATGCATTTTCAATTATTGAAAATTTTTAAGATATTTTGTGTAACGAGTACTTGGACGGTTTGCAGACTAATACAGCAGTATTAAGGGATTAATATTCTAAGTAATTCGTTGTGGAACACAACAGTTGTACATTTTTAATAAATTAATTTTGATTTCTCAGCAAACAATAACGCGTGCATCACTTCATAAAAATCAACAGAATAAAATGATTACATTTATATCAACACTTAGTGCAAAACCAAAAACACTCTTAAAAATATTGTATATTAAAATTATTTGCTAATAAACCTCATCATTGCCTAAATCAATTTTTAGAACAGTAATCCTCACGTGCCTCACTTCATAGAATTCACAAAATAAAATAATTAGATTTATTTCTCCACTTAGTGCAAAACCAAACACGCTCCTAAAAATATTATATATTAAAATGATTTGCTAAATAAATTTTTAGAACATTTTTTTTATACAAACGACGCAAATTGTACTATCGAATTTAACAAACTTCCTATTCTATTACCAGGGTCTGGTCTGAGCAACAGAAGTCTATCACCAGCCAACTCTAACGAAAACATTAATCAACAAACATCTCCTCCAACTGCCCAAAACAGAAATTTACCTCAGAGCAGATACGAGAGCCAATCCAGGCTGGACAGTGGAAGATCTTCTCTACCAAATAGAGATCAGCAACATCATCATCAACAACAACAGCAGCAGCAACAACAACAAATGCCCAGGGATGATGGTAACAGTCGATTGGTTGACACCAGGGTTGAGGATGGGAAATTGTTGTACGAAAGGAGGTAGGGATAGATAGTTAATAATATATGGTTGCTTATATATATATATATATATATATATATATATATATACTAGGTGACCCGACAGACGTTGTCCTGCACCCACGTCTACAATTTTTGAATATCCTATAATTTATATTTACCGTTTACCGAAGAATAGTTTTTTAAATTACTCTTCACACCAAAATGCATTTATATGAGCGATGTTAAATGTAGAACTGCTTTAAAAAAATGATGAGTCTCAATTCTTTCACTATATTGGTAATTGAAGTCTTTTAAACGATATAACAAATTCAGAAAAAAATAATATATAGTATCCGCGATAAAAGTACAATATCACCTTGGATTTTTTCACTCAAAATAATTGCTCCAATAATGTTGCCTATGATTTTTATAATCTCGTATCAAATTTTAACTGGTTTTTAGTAATTATAATATCTAAATTATATTTTTCTTAGTAGTAATTTAATATACAATATTACCAGGGACGCTCCTGGGGTCCTCAGCGCCCGCGTGTCATTTTTTCTAGCATCCTCCCCTATTATTTTACCTGTCTTAACAGTTTATTATTAAAATTATTGTCATTAATTAATATTTGGCTTTTGAAACATTTTACTTATTTATTTTGGGCATTTTATGCGATTTATTTTGTTGAGCAAATCATAGAGAGCAAAAAAATTCTGGTTTTTCATTATTAATTATGACACTGGTACTTCATGTTGAATTATTTTAATTTATTTTTTTATTATTTAAGATATCCGAAATTGCATCTTAAACTTCTCCTAATTGATATCGTAAGAGCCGAATCGAATGTTGTCATCTTTACTTTCCCATTTGTTGTTTTAAAGTGAAATTTTTAACGTAGTTTAAAAATATTGTGCAAAGATTAGTGAAAGATGCAAAGAAATTTTATCTTTCTTGAACTAAATTGAAAAAATGTGAATTGAGTGAATTAATTTGTCAAATTCTGTTCATATGTGTATCATTCAATCAATTCAATCAACTGTATCTTATATTATTTTAATTTCTGGCACATCTCAGCTGCTTTTTGGCAATAATAATGCAGACATTTCATTTTTCTTGTTCATAATCATAAATTTATTATTACATATTCTAATATTGTCTAGGCTCATAAGTAAATTGAAATTTTTGGCGGATCACAGTCTTCATTTGTTTTTAATTTCTCTTCAGTTCGATTTACGATATGCATGTGTATATGTGTGATATATACATACGAACAAACACATATATCAATTCTTTCTAAAGTATGCTAAAATGTTCAGAAACTTTTGAATTGTATAGATATATACAAATTTTCATTTTCAATTTCTTAGAATACTATAACTTACCCTAAGGAAAGTTACAAATCGAGGATATCAAAAAGAGTTGTACGTTTTGTTTGAGACAATATATCATTGAAATGATTAACAATAATAATAATATACTATCGACTACTTTTTTTTAATTATGTTCTCGAATGTAAAATTTTTAGATCGAAAAATCTATTTTATTAAAATGTGTGTGTATCATTCAATCTGCCATACATATACTGTATCTTATATTATTTTAATTTCTGGCACATCTCAGCTGCTTTTTAATGTATTTATTAATAATGTAGACGTTCCATTTTTCTTATTCATAATCATGAATTTGTTATACATATTCTAATATTGTCTAGACTCATAAGTGAATTGAAATTTTTGGCAGATGACAGTTTTCATTTGTTTTCAATGCCAAACAATGTCTCAAACAATGACATGTCGTTCTGCAATTTTTTCCATTTATTTCACACGCACATCCTGAAAAATTCCCTTAACAAACTTCAGAAAGATTTACCAAAATCCGAATAATCGTTTAGGAGGAGTATATTTACATAGATCATCGCAGAAGAATTATATATATATATATATATATATATATATTATTTATATTTATTTATTTATTTTATCCAATTTTTTCAGGTGGTACCACAGAGGTCAACCGATATATGTGGAAGGCAGTGAGTTCGAAAAGCAAAGATTGGCTGTTAATATCAGTGCGATAAATGCTGATGCTGTATGTATTATTTATTTAATAAATAATTGCATATTATTTATATATTATTTTCTATATATTTCTATTTCTTTACCCTTTTTTTTAGATTTGGGTGAAAAAACAAGATGGCAGCAAGTTGAGAATTTGCACATCCCAGTTGAGCAGAGGAAAAGTGTCGATAAAACGGCGGGCTTCGTAAAAATATTTTTTTATATTAAATTCGATTAGTTTTAGTTTAGTTGTAACATTTTAAGTTCAAACTTGACGTTTTTAACAAAAAATTTAGAAGGAATCTGAAATGAGTAACAAAATATGAAAAAAAACAAATATTTATACATATATAGATTTCATCGATTTTAGTTAATTTAAATGAAAATGAGTACAAAAGTTTATTTTTAACATAATATTTTAATGATTTAAATTGTGTATCTGAATCAAAATTTAAAGTGTGAAAATAAGCATTTTTATTAATAAAATTAATTTAATTTTAAAAAAATTCAATTTACTGTATGTAATTTATTAAGAAAAATATGTAAATCTTTCACAAAAATAAAAACAATGAAACTTTTATCCATATATTCTCAAAGGAGTTAAACATAAATTAATTATTATTTATATTTTATAGATTTTACTGATTTTTATTAATTCAAATGATAATATGTACAAAGTTGGACCTATTTTATTTAATTTAAATTATCAAAGTTTAAATTGTGAAAATAAACATTTTATATGTAATATATTAAGGAAAATATGTATACATAATAGACCTTTCGAAACTTGAAATGAAAAACAATGAAACTTTTGTCCATATATTCTCAAAGGAGTTACATGTAAATTAATTATTATTTATATTATATAGTTTTCACTGGTTTTTATTAATTCAAATGATACTAAGTACAAAGTTGGACCTATTTTATTTAATTTAAATAAATTGTGTATCTGTATCAAAATTTAATGTGTAAAAATAAACATATTTTATATATAAAATCGATTTGTTAATTTAAAAAAAAAATTCAATTAACTGTATGTAATATATTAAGGAAAATATGTATACATAGCAGATCTTTTGCAAACATGAAACAATGAAACTTTTATCCATATATTCTCAAAGGAGTTACATGTTAACTAATTATTATTTTTATTATATAGATTCCACTGATTTTTAATAATTTAAATTATATGTGTTTGAATAAAAATATATTTTCTATATAATATTGGGTATTGATTTTCTTTAAATATTTATAAAAAAATATATAAGTATAACAAGAGTTTTGCAAAAGTTGTCTGGAACATATTTTTGACTTTAAATTATATCTTGGTTTATTTATATATTTATATACTGATTTTACAAAGATTTAGTAAATATATTAGTATGTAAAGTACTGAAATTTCAACATCAGATTTGCAAATTATGCCCTTGTTGTTGCGAAAGCTTTACACAATTTTTTTTCTTAGCATTTTGAGAATAATTTTTTGAATATCTTTTGGTTTATTTATATATTAATATAATTTACTGATTTTGAAATGTTATAGAAAATATAATTTGAATTTACAATATAATACTTTTGTTTAAAAATTAAGCTTTATGATGGTATATTACTTTATTAAAAAAAAAATTCTAGCATTTTGAGAATAAATTATTCTGGAATTTGTTTTTATAATACACGTACGAAGTGATGAAGTAAACAAATTATAAAAAAATTAAAATAAATAGTTATATATATATATATATATATATATATATTTAAGTAGTCTTTCGTAATAAATTTGATAGAGAATAATTTATATTTTGATAAAAAAATTGTTTCTGGCAACTTCTAGATCTTGTTCAAAGGAAAAATAATAATTTCACTAGGCGGAGTTTTGTATTTTAAAAGTTGTATGAACATTCTGATATGTGTAAATATTCAAACTCAAATCATATAATCGACTTGGTCAATACCAATTGAGATGAACACATTTTAAAATTAGAAATTTTTTAAATTAACTCAATTTTTTTTTAAAAAAATAGGGTTTATTGTTAATCCAGTAAACAATGGGAATCAAAAAAATGAATCCAGATATAATTGCGAAAACTGCTCCTATAATAATACATAATGAAAATGAGCTACTACATAGTATCATGTAAAATAATATCTAATGATGAATTAGCTAAAATAATTCCAGTTAATAATCCTCCAATAAATTTATAGACAAAAAAAAATTGTCAACTATTCAAACATGTGGTTTTCACATAATAATTTGTAAGTATACTGAGTTGCTCTAGGACAATTGAAGATTATTGAATTTTGTACAAATTTGCCTCTTATCTTTTGTAGTTATTTTTCAGAAATTGTTTATTTATATTTCAGTTATTGTTTAATTTATTATAAATTATTTAATGAAAAAATAAGAACATATTCGTAAGCATTCGGCTTTTTACCTGCACGAACTTGGTCAATGTCCTAAGGGCTCAAACCTTAATTCCAAACTTCAATGAATTATTTTAATTAAAACGTTTTTCGTGGGCTTGTATTAATTTAGGATATTCTTTTAAACTTTAGATCATGGTCTTAAAACTTTAAAACTATGCAATTTTTTAATAAAATCGTCAAAGCAACTTTTTCTGTAATTAATTGCAAAGATACGGTTTGGCCGATCTTTACTGAATAACTTTTTTAACAGTTTTTTTGATTTTTAAAAATCGTTCAGAATTTCAGGCTAAAACAACAGAAAATTTTGTGCACTTGGCTGATGATTATAAAGAAACTGCTCGGCCTATAATATACCAAAATTAATCAACATGTGTCTTCATCGAGTTTTTTCGGATTTTTAATTTAAATTTTTTATATCAATGCAGCAGTTATTGAAAAAACATCGACGAAAGGTCCAATTTTAGCTAACAAACACATCTGCTTTGTCCAATTTTGGTCTCGAACGATTCAGAACGACTAAAACTTCGACGTAAATTTAGCATATCAAATTTTCTGGTGATAACATAAACGTCTCCTTTGAAGTTAAAATTTAATTTTGTATCTCGGTTTTAAAAAATACCGTTTGGCACGTTTCCGTTTAGGATGATAAACAAATTTACCGTATAGTTGATAATAAAATGATAAATTACAATGCAATTAAAATCCGTACCTTTCATTGGACTTTTACGATAATATAAATTGCTGTCTTCAACAACCTCAAATATATGTAATATAATTATTTATGTATATAACGGAATTCAATCGTATCAAAAGTCAAAAAAGAACCGGTTCCAATTTCTGGTTTATATTTTTGTGCATTTTTACGATATCGTTATAAATAACGTCAAAATAAAAACAATTTGCAAAGAATTTCTGAAATGTGTCGCCTCAATTCGGTAATCCCGAAGAAAGAAATTTTGGAGTATCATCTTTCGAAAAGATGAAGGTCCAACACACCCTTAATGCATTTTTGATACAAAAACAAAATAAATATTCATAATTATGGCATGGCGCGGAAAAACAACGATTTTTTGGGCTGAAAGAGTCGAAAATATGAAAAAGCATTTTTTGTAAGTCAATATGACTTTACATCAAAAATTTATGTGTCATAGGACCTATTGTGAGGTTTTCTTATATATTGCAACTCAAACGGCCCTATTTTCAAATGTCGAAATTGTATTATTACAATTTTCGAAATACTAACTTTTTTTATTGATTTGAGTGATTGGACTTTTTTATTGATGCCGCAATGCCGGCTAAGGGCAATTTTCACTTGAAAACTTATTGCTATCTATATTTCCAAGTAAAAACCGATATCACTGATGCTCTTTGGTACCAGACGCTGATTGCAAAGCCAAAGCTCTTACCACTGAGCTACGGAGAAACCCTTTTGTCAAGTCTTCCATTTTACAAAAATTTTACTCTCTTTCCAATTTTTAAAAACAATACCTAGATAAAAACATGTGTGAGTGAGCTAAAACTTTACATTAGATGTAACTCTATATCTATAAGGACTCGCGTTGGTTAGTTTTTCGCTAGGATCGGTTGAACCGTTTTTTTAGAATTCGCAAAAAACGTGCGAAACTTTTCGTCCACGTATCCTGAAGCAATTTCAAAAATTAACTAGTGGTGCATGGCATCGTGCCTTGGCAAATTGCTGAAACTTCCCTTATCAAAAATCAAGTTTTTTAATAGATTCAAATTTCAGATTTCAATTTTTTTTTAGAACTTTGAAAAAAATAGATTTTCAAAGTTATTGAAAAAATTGACCTTATTGAAAAATCAGATTTTCTTACACTTTGAAATATTTTGTTTTTTTTTTCTCTTTTTCAAAGCAATCACGATACATTAGAAGTGTAGAAACGAACTATTGAAGCGCGTGGGCGCCGCATTGCAATATAACAGGTACAGAACTCATAGAAATGTAAACAAAATTTGCTCTTATTAAAATATCTATGAAATATCTGATAATTTGATGTGCATCTGATAATTTGATGTGCAACCTAATGATAATTTTTGTCTACCAAATAGCATTTTCTTCACTTTTTTTATTGCCTTGAGACAAAATGCCTCAAATATACCTATTAAGAGAAAGGACGAATGGGGCTACGCTCATTTAAAAGATGAGTTTAGGAATTATAACATTCTAGATCCTCCCCCCCACGAAGTAATGCCTAACAGCAGTTTCCGTGGAGACCAGAGGCAAGGGCAAAGCGGAAATTGTAGTCGGTATTATACCCGGGCAGTATTGAGTCCGACATACCCAGACAAAAGACCTAGAATGCTGGAATATGCTAGAATAGGTTGCGTAAATGCATTTCCTTCGCTATATACAAAAAAACACGCACACACATACTTTTTCCAAATTTGATCTCATTCGATTCAGAATGAGAAAACCTCCGCTTTGCTGGAAACTTCGAGAAAACGTAAAATTAGCGAATCGGATTTTTTTATGGAAACATAAACTTCTCCTTCGGGAAGTTAAAAAATAATATAAAAATATTGAAAAAATTTGCGAATCGCGCTAATAAGTTTTTGATAAGAATTTAGGAAATTAGTTTAATTTAGTAATTTCCGAAAAAAATTTATTGACTATTTTGATACAAAAAAATTATGATGACAGATCCTATAGTGCCAACGAGTATCCTAAAATATTAGGGCCTTCGAAAGTGGTTTAATTATAAAAGTAGCTAAACCTCAATCACTATTGATTACATATAAGTACAAGTTTCTAAAACTTTCCTTAAGACAAAATGCCACCTACGCCTACTTTGTTCTCATTTTTCTATATCATCATCATAGGAGTATGTGTATTTATATTCTGTA